ACAACGGAACGAAACACTGCCCAGTCCTGTGCCAGCCTCACAAGTGCTCCTACGGTTTGCCCATGGCCGCAGCCACTGTGTCTGTCCACTTCCATGAGGACCTTCCTCTTCTTTGCTGCTCAACTTTACCAACCAGGAGGCCTTTCTCCAGGGACTAGTCTGTACCTTGAGTGACACATGACAGAGGCTAAACCCGAGTGGATTAGGGCGCAATGGAAGGTGTGGGAATGCAGACAGACAAGTCTTTTGAGAAGTTTTGCTTTCAAGCGGAACAAAGAGGCATAGCCTGAGGGTGTTGTGGGATCAGGTAGGGGTTTAAGGTGTTCTCAGCCAGGTGGGGAAGAAAAGACTGATAGGCCTAAAGAGGGCGTGAATGCGGAACCAAAGTCCTAAACTGCTGAGAAAGAAGTCTGAAGTCTACCTGCAGGGTGAGGAATTGTGGCTTTGTAGATCTAAAGGAAGAGGGCCGTCAGACAGACCCATTGGATGCAGGGAGCCCCGTGTTCTGGCACTGGAATGAAAGCTACTCTCAGCGATGATAAGTTCTAGACTTAATTTCCACAATATGTCTTTTAATTGACTAGAAAGTCATTCCAAAAAAAAAAAAGATGTTTAAATGAAACAAACACCTCGCTTAAAAAAACAAATAAAATCTGCTCAAAGTCACTTGTATTTGCAGTCTCATGTTTCCAAGTACCCCCTTCAACTGTCACTGGTGATACAGAAGAATTCTTGTTCACTTATGGGTAGTTTAAGAACTTTTGTCTAAGGGTGTGCTGCCTGGTCGGTCTCAAGGACAGCATGACCCAAAAGGGATAATGCAGAGTCCAGAGATCTGTGGGAAACAGTGAAAATATGGGCTAAGTATCAGGAACAACTCCAGGACACTATGGGAAAGAAAACTTCCCCTAACCTAAGGGAAGGGCAGGGAAGGGAAAGGAATGCCATCACTTAAGTGAGTTAAAACACACCTGTGGAAGGTAGAACAAATGCAGTAGAGGGAATGATCCCATTAAAGGTCCTAAGAAGTCCATTAGACGGTCAAAGACCTTTTGTCTCTAATGTTTGTGATTCTACAAAGTTACCTGATATTTTCAGAAAAAAGCATTTTAGATTGAAGAAAAAGAGTGGAGTGGAGTTTCCCCATAAAAATATCCATGTCCACGGGGAGGAGACGAGTCAGTCAGGGTGCAGTGTCGCACCGATGAAACATATAACTTTCCTCTAGTTCTTGAATGTCTCTCCCCTCTCCCCTCCAACTATTATGACCCCAATTATACCTTATGAATCTGGCTAGACCAGAACATGTACATGGGTACAGATAAGAGCTGGAAACACAGGGAATCCAGGACAGATAAGCCCCTCAGGGCCAATATTTGGAATAGCCATAGCAGGAGGGGAAGGGGAAGGTAGGGGGAGAACGGGGGCCCTGATCACAATGATCTATCTATAACCCCCTCCCAGGGTGATGGACAACAGACAAGCGGGT